GGAATGTTCGTTTACTGGTTGACACAATTAAAAGAAAAGGAATCAACTCGGAACTAATAAGAGACACACACACAGAACACATTGGAACCAAGAGGATACATGGAGTTGCTTTCACTGAAGTGAGAGGTTCTCGCATTTCGCTTTCCTTTTTTCAATTTGATGAGACTCCCTTTCTTAGTTTTATTTTGTCCGAATCACAATAAAAAAAAAAAAAAAAAAACCTATTCGCCGTGGTAGACGTTGTCGTGCGATAAAGCGCTGGATATTCTATTTTCCTCGGTCAGCTTTTTGTACGAAATACAGAACAGCACACCACCATCCGAAAACATCGGCACCTCAGCTCCAAAAGTGTTTGTTGACACGACTACGCGTGCCACATGCGGTTTCAAGCTTTGGTAAAATGTCATACTACAAATGTCACTTCACCAAATAAACACAACGCGTGAAAGAGGCTTTGCCGCGCGTTACCCCAACAGCGCATGAAGCGAGCTGACGAGCCGAGGGGTCCAAGAACTGCGCTGTCTGCCAGTCCGTCCTACCCGTGACGTCACAAACGATGATGATGATAGCTAGAGAAGTGCCCTGTAGTTCGCGCACGCCACCAATTCCCAAAACATCCATCGTATCTTCGAGATCCTAGTGACTCTGCGCGTAACAACGGCGGGAGCTGAGCGCTTGTTATTTTCAATACGCCCGTTAAAACATACCTGATAGCGTGCACTTCGAATGAGCGACTGCTCGGTCTTTGAAGTTCAAGCGGAGGATATCCTGGATTTTCTTTATCACGAACGCAAGCGGCTGCATCTTAATGTGTAGGCGCTTGGCATATATGAGATGATCCAGGGAGCCTGTACATTGCTTTCTGAAATAACTAGTGACAGTTACTTTTTATTCGTGGTAATTTCTAGTCGAAAGCACGTAATTCTGATCAGTACTCAAGGTGTGCGTGAGCGCAGCGCCACCCGTTGCTTACAATGCAGTTGTTTTTACAAATCATTTAACACATCACTGACATCTTTTTTAGGGCTAGGCGTCGATTAAAAATTTTAACCTGATTAATTGCCATCCTTTAATCGATCAATTAATTGGTTAATCGGTCTCGTTTATTTCTATGATAATAATATGGTTTAAAAGTAAAAATTACATAGATTTTTATATTTTTTTTATTTTGCTGAATATGTGTTAACGGCGAAATAATTTCATTTATGAATCAACTTTGATATACAGTTGAAAACAGTTCAAAAACACTCACTCTCACAGATTATTACTTCAGCTCTCTTAGGCCAAGAGGTTCGCTGATATTCTCCGGCAAAAGCGACCTCCTTTGATTGTTCACAGTAGTCTCTACTGCGCTAAACGGACACTCGCACGGCGTTGAGGTCGCTGGGGCACGTGTGACCTTCTGCACTTGTCTGGAATAACAAATCTCGCTCTTGCAGTTTACTTTAAGTTAATATTTCACCTAAAAAAAG